TGCAGGCCATTATGAAGCGAACAGGGTGGGGGGCGGCGGTGGGGGGGGTAACAACAGATGTCCTTTGTGTTGTGCCTCGCCGGGAGAGTCGCGGAGGTGGAGCGGCAGAAATCCTGGGCAGGTTCGCGACGAAGACGACGCCAACGACGATGGCGCATCGACGACGGCGGTTAAACTAAAAAACTAAAACAATATATTTGTTATCCATAACAGAGGTAGGTTTTTGTTGGGGGGGGGTTAGATCGCGTAAATATATAAATGTGTCGTCAAACCCGCCATCACCACCCGACACGGCCAATTGGTAAGGTTTGTGACGTAAACACAGAACGAGCCACGACTTAATTACTGGCGAAACGTCACGATACTCAAATTGTGAACGCTGTGGGTTCACTCGCCAACACACGCCCGGTGAGTGCTGAACTAGCCACGAAATTGGCACGTTCTGTTTACGTGACAAACCTTCACTAATTAGCTGTGTCGGGAGGTGGCGGGTTTAACGACACATTTATACATTTCTATTTAAAGCTTTCGTGACTGCAGGAATTCATATTCTTGGTTCTTTCGGTAAAGTCACGTAGAAGGGAAATAATCATCATCAGGTTTTCACACCTGATGACGATTGCTTGTGTTGCAATCGAAACGTCGTGAGAATTGTATTATGTTTTATTTTTATTATTTTATTATTTCCCTTCTACGTGACTTTACCGAAAGAACCAAGAATACATTTATACATTGTCGCAATCTCACCCAAACAAACCCTATATTATGGATAATATTGGTCGTGACAACCTACAAGGTGCCAATATATTTGTATTTTATTTTACCAGGCAAGGCCCTCTGAGCTATGCAGCTCTTCTTACAAAAGCGGATCTGGCTGTCACAAACGATAGCTCCAACGAAGTGGCTCATCATCATCGTCATCATCGTCATCATCGTCATCATCATCGTCATCATCATCGTCATCGTCATCATCATCGTCATCATCATCACCATCGTCACCATCGTCATCATCATCATCGTCGTTGCCACATGGACATTTATAGCAGCAGCCGAATTACTCTAAACGCGTGATTGTTGATTCGTCATGTGGAGTGAGCAAACCCGAGGACCCGGACAAAAATCCACGACCTCCTATACACCAGGCGAGGTCGTTAACATCTCGCCACCACGGCACTATCAGAATTAGAATCAGAATATGTATTTATTACTAGAGGAATCCGATGAGCTGTAAAGCTCTTCTTCACCGATGTCCAGTCGGGGCATGACGTGAGAACGTTCCTACAACAAACATTACCAAAACATTATTGAAGTACAAAAGTACAAGAAAGGTAACAAAAAATCACCAAACCCACGACCTCCTGCGTACCAGGCGACGTAGTTAACATCTCGCCACCGCGGCGAGATGTTAATAGAGCAAGCCATCTTCACCAACCAACGACTCCGCCATGCAGACACAACAATCGATGTACAGTCCGTTCTTGTTATTCTTAGGTTTTTTCGGTAAAGTCACGTAGGTAAAACATTAAAATTAATAAAAATATTTATTTTTTATTTTTATTAATTTTAATGTTTTACCTACGTGACTTTACCGAAAAAACCTAAGAATATGAATCCTTGCAGTCACGAAAGCTTCAAATCTAGAATTAGTCCGTTCTTCGATAGCATGGTAGTAGTTGGGTTATGGAAAATCGCGTTGATATAAATAAATATATAACACAGGACATAAAGCACGGTCCATGAGATGCGTAACGCAGGCCGAGCAAAGACCGAGCCGCGTGGGTAACATCCAGAAGCAGCATCCAGCAGCAACATCCAGCAGCATCCCAATATGCCTTGTGTGGCGATGATGACGATGCTACACCGAGGCAGCAGTCGCTACAACCGTTCATTCCGACTCGCGGGCGACGTAGTTCCGTTCGCTCGATTCGCGTTATAGCCAATTAACGCTTCGAAAAATGCGTTCCCTTAAATACATTCATGACCGCGTTAAGTCTCCAATTCGCGTTATGAAAACCACACGCGGCGCTATGATAAAGGGTAATTTCCCGAAACGTCATTTAAAGGCCGCACACGCGCACACGCGCACACGCTTTGTTCTTATTGACGAACGTGATGTTTTGAGTTTAAAATGATACGTCCGCACAACTCGTCAAGACTATACGTGGGGATCTTTGTCTTCGTCACAACGTGATGTTGTCTTGGGCCCGCGCATCGTCTCGATAAAGAAATGAATAAATATTAACGTGAAAATAAAACACGAGACCTCAACATTGGATTAATTGAGAGACATTCAGTTTAAGTTTTCACTTATTAGGTGTAGCCATGTGAGCCATGACGCTCTTGACTCGGGTGCAACCGCAACAAACAAAAACACGAACAAGAAACATCTTAAAGTGACGACGCGCAACAGAAAAATCCAGGAAAAACCAGCAAAGTCTTCCAGAAAAAAGCACCGTATATCAACGCTGTGTGCAAAATCCCAGTGGGATGCAAGTCGAACAATAACAACCAAAAGACAAATTAGATAAAGTTATCGGGCTAACTCCGTACTTCAACAAACAAACATGTCTTAACCATACGTTTTCGAAATCACCAAACAATGATAACAGTGCTCATAGAAACTGTGATTCAAATTGAACAATAAACGATATACATAACATGTACGACCAAACTTTGCAGCCATAGCTGGCAGCATGAGTCACTCCATAACAGCTGGGTTATCAGCAGGAGACAAGCCCAGGGTGTCGGGCTCACGGCCCCCCACGCGGGAACGCGTCGCGCCCAGGAGGGCTGGCGAGCCGGACCGAAACGTCGCGTGATCATGAGTTTTTCATCCAGCAGTGGAGAGATCACGGCTGATCACGACGATGGTGTTGACACAAAAAGATCCAGTGCAGGTCCCTGTACTGTGCCCCCTCCCACCCCCTCATCATTCAATTCCACGTAAGCATCTCGTCTCCGCGCCCTTCCCTACGGACATCAACTTCTGTTTCCACCACCTTCTTCGCCCGGTGAGATGACTCCTCAATTGTTTCCCCATTGAGGGCGTCACACACCGCATTGGGGGGGGGGGGGGGGGCGACGGTGCCGCTTCACCCCACGACGCCTGTGGGCAGCTGATCCGGGCTGTAGGAGCCCTGAGCGAGCGGTCATCTCCACTTCGCGACTTCGCCGAGTCGTGAAGTGGAGCGAAGCGGCAGCCCAGCACAGGCCAGCCCCGTGACATTCAGTGCTCAGCACAATAGCGGCGATTATGCCAAGTCGCTCACCCCGCCGGCAAGACGACGACGATGAGTATTGTTGTTGTTGCAGGAAGTGGCCCATTAGTGGTGACGATGACGACGATGATGATGAATGGCTCTATAAAAATAGAGACTTGCGTACGCGAGAGGGCTTAAGAGGGTGGGGGGGGGGATTAAAAATACACCACAAGCTCTCCCTGACGTACGACTCTGATTTTCAAAGGTAGCCGCTTACACACACCAGGGCCCCCGTGATATATAAATTGCCTCCACATTTTGGAGGTAAATGATTATGTTATTCCGCCTTATTATTATTTTCCGCTTGTTTAACCCAGGAAACCTTTTAACGAATCTCAAGACTATTTTTTCAGGAGGGTCCTGCCAAGTTTTCGCAGTAGAGGGGGGGGGGGGCGATGTTGCTGCTGCTGCTGTGTGATCCGGATTGAGTGATTTGCAGGGAAATTGTCAGCACTGGCATGTTTGGCCAATATCAGGGAAATGATCAGCACTGGGATGTTTGGTTCCTGTACTTGCATCTATCGCGGTCATCTGCACAAGCGGCTCCTCACCTGAGTGGTGAATGGAGCAAGCGGCAGCACTGCTCAAGCCCCGTGACAATCAGCGCTCAACAGCGGCGGCGGCGATTACGCGAAGTCTCCACCCCGAGATGACTCTATTTTTATTATTGTTGCTGCAGGAAGTGACCCATTAGTGGTAACGACGACGATGATGATGAAGTGCTCTATAAGAATAGAGACTTGCGTACGCGAGAGGGTTTAAGGGGGGAATTAAAAAATACTCTGCGCGCTTGCTCTGACGTACGACTCTAATTTACAAAGGTAGCCGCTTACACACACCCAGGGCTCCCATAATGTATGAATTACCCATACGTTTTGGAGGTAAATTATTATTTTATTAAGTCTTATTATTATTATGTTTAACCCAGGAAAGCCTCGCCGAGTCTTCTCAAGACGCTTTTTCAGGAGGGTCCTGCCAGGTTTTCGCAGTCGCAGGAGGGGGGGGGGGCGATGTTGCTGCTGCTGTGTGTGGTCTGTTAGCCTAGGAGCACCCCCAGTGGCAACTACCCCTATGAATGATCCTGCTGCTGCCAGTAGCAGGGGGCGATGTTGTTGCTGCTGTGTGTGGTCTGTTAGTCATCTGGAGATCCACAAACAGGACCCACCAGGAGGACAATCGTACTCGACCCCGAGTGATTGCCGATGATGAGCCGAAGGGCACCCCCAGTGACAGCTGCTAGTAGCTATAGGAGTAGACTGGAGAACCCAGAGAAAACCCATGCAGAACAGGGTTAGAGGGAAGGACATACATCAAAATCAGAATATTAATGCTGTAGGAATGCGATGAGCTATGAAGCTGTTTTCGACAGATGCCCAGTAAACCAAACATTACAAACAACAAGGCCTGGAATTGAACTCAGGTCCTTGTTTTGCTGTGCGGCGCGATCATTTACCACTTAGTTACCGTAACTTACTAATTGCATCAAGTCATCGCAGTATTCGGCATTGTCTTTGCACTCGTCACCTTTTTGGTGTTATCTGGTCCAACACTCGTAGTGAGACTAGGCTCTAAAGAAGGCTGTCTGGTGTAGGCCAATCCGTTTCAAAGACAATGCCATATATTAACAGATCATGTTTGTTTGCATGTTCACCACAAGTGCCGTGTGTGGTTAATGCAGACTATTCCTTGCAAAATGTTTATATTTGGTGAACATCTTAACACCTCCTGATTTATTTCCAGAAAGGGTAGAAGATAAAGGCCTAACCCTGAAATTTCCTGCCCCATGCCCGCTGCTGGCACCGCTGTCGGAATCGGCCTCAACAATCGCATCAGATTGGCCTACTCTTCCACGCTGGCCGGACGTGTTTGGTAAGCGATGCGAGTACTCACACTTTACCCTGCCACACGCACGACCTACAGATCGACTTCACCGGTGGTGCTGGTGGTGAACCCACGTCCATTGTAGAGTGGACAAAGGAGGCGGGAGGATTTCAACTGCAGCCCTGCCGGGAGATGGCCATGCAATCGAACCTGCAACCCCCGTTGTTTCAAGTTCAGAATCACAAACTATATTTATTGCTGGGGGAATCCAATGAGTAACGCTCTTTTTCCCCACATGTCCAGTCGGGGCACGGGGTCAGAACGTTACAACAACAACAATCCACAGACACGATAGGAGTGCAAAGTATAAGAGAAGTAGCTTATCGCGTGCAAACTGGCAAGCCACAAGCCGGAGAGCATTATCACCCTCGGCACTACGGACATCAACGATGGCCCTCACGTACTCTGTAGCCGTGCACTGTGCACCAGCATGGACCTGAAGTAGTCCCCACTCGATCTGTTGATGTCCAACTGAACCATCATCAACATCACCACCATCATGAACATCATGGTGATGCCATCATCACCACGTGTCACCATCACTACCCATCGCCATCATCACCACGTGTCAACATTGCTACCCATCACCACTGAACACCGCAACGTGGTGTTGTATCGCTGTAACCCTCAGATCAACCCCAACCACCCTGGCTGCCCGTGCTGTCACCAAATCTCTCCCCCAGCCATCCGCCCGACGCAGCAACCCTCCGGGAAGTCCCCTGCGAATCATCAGGGACAACAGTCGCGGGCCTTCCCATCCACCAGGACCTCAATAACATCCCTCGACATCACTTGAAGTCACGCAGCAAGCCCCCTTTTTGGACCCCATGAGCTTAACCTTCAACGATGCGAGTTCGACTCCCCCATGAAGCTTGGCAGAGCTGAATGGAGGTCAACAGAACTCACGGACAGACGCCGCCTTGCTGCGAAAGAGCCAACGCAAAAAATCCCCTGGGGTTTTTGATCATCCACGAAGCTGCTTGTCTCGGCCTCGCTGTGCACTGCGTTGCACCGCTAGCTGAGTAGTTAACCTCGCGTTCAATAAACCCTCGGAGCCAGGATGAACGTCCGACTCCAAACGTCATTTATTGAGTTTATCGAGGAAAAACTGGTGAGAAAACACAGATACAGCATCTGTTATAACCCGGAAATACCAACACAATGAACATCACAGCACCAGAACATTGTCCCAGATAACATGTTTCCCAGCAATAGACCCTGGATGGACCAGGCCCCCACACTACCACTGAACAACTACACAAGAGCACAAGCCGATGCGTTGCATAAAGGCACATCGTGTATTCATCACACTGCACCCCAAATGTAAAGCATTACACATAACACTAAACTGTGGATGAGATACTTCGTCACCTTTGCTCTCAGGATCGCAACATAAACACCTGGGCACAAGTCTGACTCGACCTACTAAATCACAAGTAACATCCACAATAAGGAAAATTGCAGGCTTCGTTGCTAACTAGGCCTCGTATTTACCACAACAACTTAACAGCACCATAAAGGCATTTACATCACTATAACGGTCATTCCAACATTACAACAGCATTGCCAATATTATAAGAACATAAACAAACTTACAGACAATGCTTCTCAAAGTCCCACGATGGACAACTGCGGCTGGCTTCACTGGGACGTGATGTGTGCCGCCATCTTGAATTATATGCGTAATGGCCGACGCCCGCGTGGTTAAGCGGGAATCTTAATTCGCAACTTCCTGGTCACATGACCAAAACCAGCATCAAAAACAGGAAATTCCTGTGTACATACCCCCCCCCCCCCCCCCCCCCAATCTGCCGTGAGGCAAAACTCCTGCCGTGAGGCAGAACACTGCTCACAGTCCACCCTAAACCGTATCCACTGCACAAACCATGGCAGTAGATGCGGATAGACCTGATTCACAAATGGAAAATGTGAAAATCTCCGGCAGTGTGCGACTGTGGTCATCCAGAACAGGCCGTATAAGGTGTAATGATGCAATGCCCCGATCCACAAATACGAAGGAGACATCGCAGCGACGATGGTGATGATGATACACTACTCCGCTGGCTTCTGACGGCGGTTATCTGCTGGCTTGACCACCTGAATGTCAAATTGTAAGTTGTTGCTCTGCATCTACATCAGCAGCTGTATGACAAGAAGAAAAAGAAGAAGATATTCAGGCCGCACCAAACCAACGGTAAACAGTTGCAGGCACAGTTCACATAATTACCAAACCTCGCCTCCCCTGTCAGTTGAGGGTGACGTTATTGAATGGAGACAGAGGCCACGTGAAACTGATTGAGGGGTAGAACATTGGCCTAATGAGAGCCTCCTGTGTGGGACGCTTAGCAGACGCCCTCCCCCTGCCCACGAACTCCACGCGCCCCCCACCCCACCTCGCACCCCACCTCCCACACACAGAACTCACAGCTGGTCGCCATCTGAAACCGATTTGTGGAAGAACAATCGTTAAGGCCTGGCCCTGGAGTGCATCACGCCGGGCAGCTCGCAGAGACCACAACAGCTGTGTGGCCAGCGCTCGCTTGCTCGCTCGCTCTCTCGGGTAGCCGCAATTAAGGCACGGGGCCCATGAGGGAATCTTAACATTGAGAAGGAACAGGGGTGGGGAGCGGGGGGAGAGCCACGGGGAGGGCCGCATGGGGAGGACCACACAGGGAGGGCCGCACAGAGAGGGCCGCACGGAGAGGGCCGCACGGAGAGGGCCGCACAAAGAGGGCCACACGGAGAGGGCCGCACGGAGAGGGCCGCACAAAGAGGGCCTCACGGAGAGGGCCGCACGGAGAGGGCCGCACGGAGAGGGCCGCACGGAGAGGGCCGCACGGGGAGGGCCGCACAGAGAGGGCCGCACAGAGAGGGCCGCACGGAGAGGGCTGCATAGGGAGGGCCACATAGGGAGGGCCGCATGGAGAGGGCCGCATAGGGAGGGCCGCATGGAGTGGGCCGCATGGAGAGGGCTGCATGGAGAGGGCCGCATAGGGAGGGCCGCATGGAGTGGGCTGCATGGAGAGGGCTGCATGGAGAGGGCCGCATAAGGAGGGCCGCATAGGGAGGGCCGCATGGAGAGGGCCGCATAGGGAGGGCCGCATGGAGTGGCCGCATGGAGAGGGCTGCATGGAGAGGGCCGCACAGAGAGGGCCGCATGGGACGTCACGGAGTGCAGTGGTTGCTGCCATCGATCCGAATCGGCCAGTCATCTCAGTCAGTCGACCCATGGCACCTGGGCCTGCCCCGTGACCTACTGTCAGCGGGCGTTCGACACTTCACGTGACCTCAACGTGCACCTAGCCTGGCCGTGGAGACGTCACCGCCACTTAGTGGTGAATATCGGTTGTTGTTTTGTCATCACAATCGAGTTTATTAGCGGGGTAGTTTTTCTAATTTGGAAAATTTGGACCGTATTGCTGGCACACTATAGAAACTATAAAAGTTTTTTTAAAAATATTTTACCGGGGAAGGCCACCACTGAGCTATGTTGCTCTTATTCAGAAGCAACCTGGCCATCACAAATGATAGCTCAACCAAGTGGCTTGTCATCATCGCGTGGAAATGTATAGCAGTCAAATGCTCCAAACGCGTGATGGGGTGGGGGTCCTAGATGGGGGGGGGGGGGGGGGGCATGCTGAGTGAAGAACCTGGCAGGGAACGCGTGGGTAGAATGGAGAGCGAGACTTCTTTAGAGGCAACACGTTTATTATAACAAGGGTAACTTTAAGACGAAGGGGTAACGGGCCCTTCCACCCGATAATCTACGGAGGTCTGTCCTCCGGGCTAACGCGCCCTAACACTGGGGAGGCTGGGGTCTGGGTCCCGTCTTCGAGCTCCTCTTCAGGGTGACGGCTTCGGGTCTTCAAGAACACAACAGCAGCCGGACCCTTTCAGGGGTCTGGCTTATATAGTCAGTCCCGGCTCTCTCCGCCCTTAGCCACGCCCTCCTTCTCGAACCTTCGAGAAGAACCTGGGTTGTGGACATGTCATCCCCCCAGCTCCCTTTTGGGGGTCCTGGGGTCCATACCTCCGGTCACGAGCCCCCCCAGGGTTCAACCTGAGTGCCACAGCCCAGCTTGATCCGGGCACTCTTCCACCCCCTGTCGTTCTGGGGCTGGCACTACAACCGGGGAGCAGTGGCATCACCCAGGAATGCCACTCCACCTGTAGATTGGGGATAAATGTGTAGAGGAGCATTGTGGGTAACCAAAGGGGCGAGCAGAGGGAGGTGCGAGCGCGTTGCCAATCAAGAATGACATCACGGGTTACAGAACGGGCTTTAGAGAGCAACTTCGGGAACATGGGCGGAGCCGAGCTGGGGGGGAGGAGCCGCCCAAAGGGTTCTTAAGGGGGGCCCCGTGACGAAGACGGGGTCGTCGTAGGGAGCCAGGGTAAGGATTAGCTGCAGAGGGTCTCTCCCTCGTCGCGGAGCGGTGTTGGCTGAACCTCCGCTCCGGGCAGACAAGTGGGAGAGCCAAGGGGATGGCCGAGGGTAGGGTCCCGTAGTATTCAGTAAGGGTCGGCTTGAATAGGGTCTCTCTCTCCTCGGCGCGGAGTGGTGTTGACTGGACCCCCGCTCCGGACAGAAGAGTGAGAGAGCCCAAAGGGGATGGCCGAGTGTAGGACCCAAATAGTCTTCTGTGTCCGGGGTAAAGGGCCAAGATAGAGTGCACCTACACTGGTGTGAGCATAGGATGTCGAGTGTAACAGTGTTTTATTAAACGGCAACAGCGCTTATAGAATTCCTCGTCTCCGCGTGGATCCACTGCACTACAAATGTGATTTCGTCACCTGTGAGCCAATCAGGTGCGAAGGCCAAAGGGGAGGGGGGGGGGAGTTAATGTTTGGATATAAATTACAATTGATATCCATTACTGGTTGGGTTATAATGTACAGTCCCGTTGTCGATCCACTGCTGGATGGAACTCTCTCTGTGCCGTTCTGCAGGTGACCGTTGTTTCATTACAAAGCACAGGCGAATGGTACTGCAGCACGTGTCGATCCATTGCCGGGATGATGGCCTCCCATCGGTCATCATCGTAGCGATAATAACAATAACACCACGATTTATAACGCGTGTATATCTCGTGAGTCGGATGTTGGATCGAGAACTCAGAGGCGACGAACCAGAGCTCAAAAGTGCCTCGTACGCCAGCCTGGACCAGGTGAGGGCTGAACAGGTGAGAGCCTGAACAGGTGAGGACCTGGACTAACTGTGGTACAGGGTAACAGGAGCTGTGGTGCAGGGTGACAGGGGCTGTAGTGCAGGGTGACAGGAGCTGTAGTGCAGGGTGACAGGGGCTGTAGTGCAGGGTGACAGGAGCTGTAGTGCAGGGGGGCAGGGGCTGTAGTGCAGGGTGACAGGAGCTGTAGTGCAGGGGGGCAGGGGCTGTAGTGCAGGGTGACAGGGGTTGTAGTGCAGGGTGACAGGAGCTGTAGTGCAGGGTGACAGGAGCTGTGGTGCAGGGTGACAGGAGCTGTAGTGCAGGGTGACAGGAGCTGTAGTGCAGGGGGGCAGGGGCTGTAGTGCAGGGTGACAGGAGCTGTAGTGCAGGGGGGCAGGGGCTGTAGTGCAGGGTGACAGGGGCTGTAGTGCAGGGTGACAGGGGCTGTAGTGCAGGGTGACAGGAGCTGTGGTGCAGGGTGACAGCAGCTGTGGTGCAGGGTGACAGGAGCTGTGGTGCAGGGTGACAGGGGCTGTGGTGCAGGGTGACAGGGGCTGTAGTGCAGGGTGACAGGAGCTGTAGTGCAGGGTGACAGGGGCTGTGGTGCAGGGTGACAGGAGCTGTAGTGCAGGGTGACAGGAGCTGTAGTGCAGGGTGACAGGAGCTGTAGTGCAGGGGGGCAGGGGCTGTAGTGCAGGGTGACAGGAGCTGTAGTGCAGGGTGACAGGAGCTGTAGTGCAGGGTGACAGGGGCTGTAGTGCAGGGTGACAGGAGCTGTAGTGCAGGGTGACAGGAGCTGTAGTGCAGGGTGACAGGGGCTGTAGTGCAGGGTGACAGGAGCTGTAGTGCAGGGGGGCAGGGGCTGTAGTGCAGGGTGACAGGGGCTGTAGTGCAGGG